AACTCTGATCTTCTCTTGCAGGGGGCATGGGTTCAGTCCCTGCTTGGGGAACTAAGATCTTGCATACTACATGCCGTGGCAAAAAAAAGAAAGGAAAAGAAAAAAAAAAATCCCCCTTTTCTTTCTTTTTAAAAAAATATTTAATAATTTACGTATTTGGCTGATTAGCTGCAGCACGTTCCCTGACCAGGGATGGAACCCAGGCTCCTGCATTAGCAGCATGGAGTCTTAGCTACTGGACCAGCAGGGAAGTCCCAAAATGTCCTTTCCCTTTCCAGCAAAGGGAATTCTAGATGGCCTATGAAGGGAAGCCAGCCACCAGGGCTTTCTGGGCTCCAAATACTCACCTGTCATATTTAAGGCCCCTGCCTTTGATGGGTGGGGGTCCTGAGACCATTCTCCTGGTGGCTCCTCATATTAGCCTCCCTATTCTTCCTTTACAAATTTTTTCTGAACGGCTAAACATAATTGACTTTTGAACTGTGGTGTTGGAGCAGACTCTTGAGAGTCCCTTGGACTACAAGGAGATCCAACCAGTTCATCCTAAAGGTCAGTCCTGAATATTCATTGGAAGGACTGATGCTGAAGCTGAAACTCCAATACTTTGACCACCTGATGTGAAGAATTGGCTCATTGGAAAAGACCCTGATGCTGGGAAAGATTGAAGTCAGGAGGAGAAGGGGACGACAGAGGATGAGATGGTTGGATAGCATCACAAGTCAATGGACAGGAGTTTGAGTAAGCTCCGGGAGTTGGTGATGGACAGGGAGGCCTGGCGTGCTGCAGTCCATGGGGTCACAAAGAGCCGGACACGACTGAGCAACTGAACTGAACTGAAACCTAGTTGAAATTCCCCCAAATACAAAAGACTATACCAAGGAAAGTAGACTTTCTCTCCCGAATTCTGGCCTCAATCCCACCGTTCTGTCCTCAGGCCCACTGTTCGTAGTTGTTTCTGGCCCAGAAGGACTTGAATTTAACTGTATGAATCCATGAACCGAAGCTTGTTATTTCCTCCTAGAATCCTGCCCACTATTTTCCTGATCAGCCTGGCCTGGAGTTATAGATAGATAGATAGATGATAGATAAAGGCAACCCATACTCAGAGTTCTAGAGAACGTTCTGACTTCAAGTGGACAGAACAGTTATCACACAAGAAATATCAAGCTAGCCAACAGCCACTCCACTTGGGTGGTGTCTGAGGGACTCACAGAGGCCAAATGACGGGCTGCTGGTGACCTTGGATTCCTGAACCACAAAGCCACTGTTCCTTTTGCTTGCTTTCTTTGTCATGCCACACAGCTTGCAGGATCTTAGTAATCCGAACAGGGATCCAACTCAGGCCACAAGCAGTGAAAGCAAGTCCTAACCATTGGACCGCCAGGGAATTCCCAGCCACTGTTGGGTTTCAGGGATTTTCACACTCTTCTTAGTGAAGGGCACAAAGGAAGAAAACACCTATTTCCTTCTCCAAGAGAGGAGGCCTGGAAAACTCAGACTCCAGACAAGGGGCAACCAGGGGAGGCCTTTTCCCCAAAAGGAAGCTTTTGAAGTGGAGCAGAACTGTTTCCTCCTCCTGCCTTTTGTCTGTGGAAAAACTTTAGCCAAAGAATAAGTTTAACCAGACAAGTGAGAGAATGCAGAATTAAAGGGAAACAGTCCAACAAGACGAATTGCCATGAAGTGATGGGACCAGATGCCATGATCTTATTTTCTGAGTGGTGTTGAACTTTAACTTAATGGCTAATAGGAGATTAGTCATTAAGCAAAGTCAAGGACCTTCACTTTCTCCTCCAGGGCGATAGATAATATTCCGAATCACACCCTATGAGCTGTGTGGTAGAGGCTGAAACCCCCACCAGGTGGAGGAAGTTAACTACATGAGAGCCAGACTGTAGCCATGACATAAGCTGCCACAGTTCTGAGAACTGGCAACAAAGAAATGGGGACACACCGACCCTGGAATTGAAGACTGAGTGTGCTTACGACAATCAAGATGACGCTGGTCAGGCCACCTGTGACCAATTTCGAGAAGACTGTCAGAACGGACCCTGTTGTTTCTGCAAGGAGCCTAGGAAAGCTCTTGTCCGAGGATTGTGTGGGGTTGGTGGGGAGTTGACTTTCGGACAGAAAGTCTACCCTGCTCTCCAGGTTACCTGCATCTAAAATAAAGCTAATTTTCCTTTCCACCAGCCTTGCTTGTTTCAGTTCAGTTCAGTTCAGTTCATCTGCTCAGTCGTGTCCGACTCTTTGCAACCCCATGAACCACAGCATGCCAGGCTTCCCTGTCCATCATCAACTCCTGGAGTTTACCCAAACTCATGTCCATTAAGTCGGTGATGCCATCCAGCCATCTCATCCTCTGTTGTCCCCTTCTCCTCCTGCCCTCAATCTTTCCCAGCATCAGTGTCTTTTCAAATGAGTCAGCTCTCCGCATCAGGTGGCCAAAGTGTTGGAGTTTCAACTTCAACATCAGTCCTTCCAATGAACACCCAGGACTGATCTCCTTTAGGATGGACTGGTTGATTCTCCTTGCAGTCCAAGGGACTCTCAAGAGTCTTGTCCAACACCACAGTTCGAAAGCATCAATTCTTCAGCGCTTAGCTTTCTTTATAGTCCAACTCTCACATCCATACATGACTACTGGAAAAACCATAGCCTTGACTAGACAGACCTTTGTTGGCAAACTAATGTCTCTGCTTTTTAATATGCTGTCTAGGTTGGTCATAACTTTCCTTTCAAGGAGTAAGCGTCTTTTAATTTCATGGCTGCAGTCACCATCTACAGTGATTTTGGAGCCCCCCAAAATAAAGTCAGCCACTGTTTCCACTGTTTTCCCATCTATTTGCCGTGAAGTGATGGGACTGGATGCCATGATCTTAGTTTTCTGAATGTTGAACTTTAAGCCAACTTTTTCACTCTCCTCTTTCACTTTCATTGAGAGGCTCTTTAGTTCTGCTACACTTTCTGCCTTAAGGGTGGTGTCATCTGCATATCTGAGGTTATTGATATTTCTCCCGGCAATCTTGATTCCAGCTTGTGCTTCTTCCAGCCCAGTGTTTCTCATGATGTACTCTGCATATAAGTTAAATAAGCAGGGTGACAATATACAACCTTGACATACTCCTTTTCCTGTTTGGAACCAGTCTCTTGTTCCATGTCCATTTCTAAATGTTGCTTCCTGACCTGCATACAGATTTCTCAAGAGGCAGGTCAGGTGGTCTGGTATTCCCATCTGTTGAAGAATTTTCCACAGTTTATTGTGATCCACACAGTCAAAGGCTTTGGATAGTTAATAAAGAAGAAATAGATGTTTTTCTGAACTCTCTTGCCTTTTTGATGATCCAGGAGATGTTGGCAATTTGGTCTCTGGTTCCTCTGCCTTTTCTAAAACCAGCTTGAACAGCTGGAAGTTCACGGTTCACGTATTGCTGAAGCCTGTCCTGGAGAATTTTGAGCATTAATTTGCTAGCGTGTGAGATGAGTGCAATTGTGCGGTAGTTTGAGCATTCTTTGGGATTGCCTGTCTTTGGGATTGGAATGAAAACTGACCTTTTCCAGTCCTGTGGCCACTGCTGAGTTTTCCAAATTTGCTGGCATATTGAGTGCAGCACTTTCACAGCATCATCTTTCAGGATTTGAAATAGCTCAACTGGAATTCCATCACCTCCACTAGCTTTGTTTGTAGTGATGCTTCTTAAGGCCCACTTGACTTCACCTTCCAGGATGTCTGGCTCTAGGTGACTGATCACACCATCATGATTATCTGGGTCGTGAAGATCTTTTTTGTACAGTTCTTTTGTGTATTCTTGCCATCTCTTCTTAATATCTTCTGCTTCTGTTAGTTCCATACCATTTCTGTCCTTTATTGAGCCCATCTTTGCATGAGATGTTCCCTTGGTATCTCTAACTTTCTTGAAGAGATCTCTAGTCTTTCCCATTCTGTTGTTTTCCTCTATTTCTTTGCATTGATTGCTGAGGAAGGCTTTCTTATCTCTCCTTGCTATTCTTTGGAACTCCACATTCAAATGGGTATATCTTTCCTTTTCTCCTTTGCTTTTCGCTTCTCTTCTTTTCACAGCTATTTGTAAGGCCTCCTCAGACAGCCATTTTGCTTCTTTGCATTTCTTTTTCTTGGGGATGGTCTTGACCCCTGTCTCCTGTACAATGTCACGAACCTCTATCCATAGTTCGTCAGGCATTCTGTCTATCAGATCTAGTCCCTTAAATCTATTTCTCACTTCCACTGTATAATCATAAGGTATTTGATTTAGGTCATACCTGAATGGTCTAGTGGTTTTCCCTACTTTCTTCAATTTAAGTCTCAATTTGGCATTAAGGAGTTGATGAACTGTGCCACAGTCAGCTCCCGGTCTTGTTTTTGCTGACTGTATAGAGTTTCTCCATCTTTGGCTGCAAAGAATATAATCAGTCTGATTTCGGTATTGACCATCTGGTGATGTCTATGTGTAGAGTCTTCTCTTGTGTTGTTGGAAGAGGGTGTTTGCTATGACCAGTGTGTTCTCTTGGCAAAACTCTGTTAGCCTTTGCCCTGCTTCATTCTGTACTCCAAGGCCAAATTTGCCTGTTACTCCAGGTGTTTCTTGCTTGTTTACTGGTTTTTAAGCTGCGAGCATCTGGACCTACCTACATTTTTTTTCTTTCTTGAATCTTATTTTATTGGATTTCAAAGTTTGTACTTTTGAAAGGTATTGAACCCATATCTATCTTTCTGTATTCCAAAGAGTATTGTATTTTGGAGATCTCGCCCTATCTTGACATGCCTGCTCACTTTTTTTGGCTTCACTGTCTTCGTTGCAGCACTCAGGATCTTTGTTACCACATGAGGGATCTTTACAGTTGCAGCATGTGAGATCTAGTTCCCTGACCAGGGATCAAATCCTGGGCCCCTGGGTTGGGAATGCAGTCTTAAGCACTGAAGCAGCGGTGAAGTCCTGCTAACAGATGTTGGCGCCCAATGTGATTCTGTGTTCTCATAGGGAGGGAGTCGTTCCTGAGCCAAGGCAGCACCTTCATGATGCGCTGGGAAGGCTGTGAGGAGCCGCTGGCCTCAGCAGGAGGTTTGAGAGGACGTTCCCAGTGGAAACCATTTGTTTTGGGCATCCTTTCTGTTTCTTCCCTGCTAAGCGCTGACGGCCAAACTATGGTTTTACTTGGTGGAATGAAAAGACACCTCTGACGAGAGCTGACAAGTTCCAAGACATCTCTAAGTCCCCCAGTGTGCACCCGAATAACTCCTCTTTTGAGTATGAAGTGTGCTATTTGGGCATTTTGTAGATTGGTTCTGATGTGTGTCTGATGGGGAGGACAGTTTTTGTAGCAGACAAAGCTGGGCTGATAAAATACTGTTTGCAGAATTCTAATCCTCAGAACAAAAATGTGCCTAGGCGAAAGCTTGACGTGGACTCTTATCAGGTCCTTAAAATACAAACAAAGCCCACTCTGCCTGAGACTTCAGTCTTGGGTTAATCGGTAGAACTTCAAAAGATGTTTGGGGCTTATTAAACACAGTATCTTGTTCTATCTACGATAAAGAGAAATGATGCTATGAGAAAAATTTAAGTTTTTGGAGATTATGGAATATGTTAAGGTTTTCAATCAGAAAATGCTGGTGTAACAGTTCAATTACTTGTTTTTTGGTTTTGTTAAGGCTTTTAAGGGTTAAAAAATTGCAAATATGTAATGAAAGCTACTAGCATGAGGAGGAAAGCATTTTATTTTTTTTTTTCCATTTATTTTTATTAGTTGGAGGCTAATTACTTTACATCATTGCAGTGGTTTTTGTCATACATTGAAGAGGAAAGCATTTTAAAGTGTAAAGCAACTATATGCATTGTAGGTGAGAAAAGGTATAAAGAATGGAGATGTTTTTGTTGAGGAAAAATGGTGAAAATTTTGTTCAAGAGCTGTTTCTGGGTGGGGAAACATAAGAGACAGATCATATGAATACAAAAAGTGATAAAAGGTTTGTCAGAAAAGGGAACTTTAAGAGAAGACTTTTGTATGTTGTCAGGAGTGATTAAAATTAGAATGGATTTAATTAATTAGGTGTATGGATTCACTACATATTCTAATGTATTAATAGATTATAAGATAAAATCAAGCATGTATGTGCTGACACTTTTTAAGTAGACCTTCGTAGACCTTCTATACTTAGAAATGTCTCTTAATAGTAGGCTTGCCTGGTGGCTCAGATGGTAAAGACTCCTGCAATGCAGGACACCTGGGTCAGGAGGATCCCCTGGAGAAGGAAATGGCAACCCACTCCAGTAATCTTGCCTGGAGAATCCCATGGACAGAGGAGCCTGGCAGGGTACAGTCCATGGGGTTGCAAAGAGTCAGGCGTGACTGAGCAACTATCACTCAATTAGGTAAATAAACTTTGTTACTAACTATAAACTGGTAGAAGATGAGAGTTTTTTTTTTCTTCCTGCCCTGCCATGCAGCTTGTGGGATCTTAGTTTCGGGACCAGGGGTTGAACCTGCACCCTCAGCAGTGAGAGCTCTGAGTCCTAACCACTGGCCAGCCAGGAAATTCCCTGGAATTTGGTTTTCTTTCTCACTGTTAGTAGAAAAAATTTTCCTGGCATATTGGGCTTTTTTGATAACAGATTGTATGTTTCTTTCTCTAGGTAAGTTTGAGTATTCCCAAGGGCCCCGAGGCATCTCAGAAAAAATAGTAAAGTAAATTGGATTATTTGGTATATTAACTTATATTAGAAACACTTGATAACTTTCAGATCATAGTGCTGAACTGGGTAAGAAATTTAAATAATATTATGGAAAGCTATTGTTTTGTTGCAAACCATATTTCATTTTATTATTATTTTTTTTACTTTTGGTATTTTAAAAAACCTTTTGGCTGAACCACTCGGCGTGTGGGATCTCAGTTCCCCAACCGGGGATAGAACCCCAGCCCTCTGCAGTGGAAGCACAGGAGTCTTAACTGCTGGACCACAAGGGACATTCCTTCAAACCATATATATATTTTTTAAACATAATTTTATTTACTTATTTTTGGCTGTGCTGGGTCTTCTTTGCTGTGTGGGCTTTCTCTAGTTGCAGTGCACGGGCTTCTGTTGTATCTGAGCACAGGCTCTAGGACATGGGGGCTCAGTATTGGCAGCTCCCAGGCTTTAGAGCACAAGCTTAATCTTCCCAGACCAGGGATCGAACCCATGTCTCCTGAACAGACAGGTGGATTCGTTACCACTGAGCCCCCCAGGGAAGCCCCCACACCATATTTTTGACCCCAATGTCCAGGATGGAAAAGACACATTCAGAAAATAATACAAAGATGCATTTTGTTATCCTCATTGTAATGTCTACTAATTTTAAAAATTTTGTCCAGGTGCTACAACAAAATAATCAGAGGCAATGTTTTCATAATATAAAATACTGATGCTAAGCTTGGAAATTGAAATTATTTCCTACTCTGTGTCCATTCCCCAAGTTAGGCTGGGCTTCCCTGGTGGCTCAATGGTAAAGAATCCACTTGCCTATGCAGGAGACACAGGTTCAATCCCTGGGTCAGGAAGATACCCTGGAGAAGGAAAAAGCAACCCACTCCAGTATTCTTGCTGGGGAAATGCCATGCATAGAGGAGGCTGGTAGGCTATAATTCACAGGGTCACAAAAGAGAAGGAGTTAGAAAGCAAACAACAGCAACACCACCCCATTTCAGCTGGAAGTAGTAAGTGGTGGTTGCCCCATTCCATTGAAGAGTTGGAGAGAATTGGAATGGAAATGGAACCAAAACCAAATTCCTCTGCTGAGTTTATGATTAACCTCTCTGTTCAAAACTTTATTCCCTTTCTTGTTCTGTACCCATTCCTCCTCAAGATTGAGGAATATCACAATAAAAAAGGGGGGGGGATTGAAACAGAGGAGTAGGGTCCTCAACCGTCCTGGTCCCAGCAGTCCCCAGGCATTTTGGCACCAGGGACAGGTTTCACAGAAGGCGGTTTTTCTAAGGACCAGGAGTAGAGGGGATGGTTTGGGGATGCTTCTAGCACATTACATTTATTGCGTCCTTTATTTCCATTATTATTACATCAGCTCCACTTCATGTGATCAGGCATTAGACCCCCAGAGGTTGGGGACCCCTGATTCCCCCCCATAACCTCAGCCTGCCTTTTGTTGTGGAAAAAGTTTTAGTAACAACTCCAGGCAAGAGGCAGCCAAGGGACGCTCTTTTCCCCCTAATTCATGACAGCAGTGCACTTTAGGTTTTAACAAGCAGAAATCAAAAACTCAGGACGCCCCTCTTCAAGCGGATAGAGACCATTTGCTGAGCAGCTTTGCTAGGGGAAGCTTTGGGCTTTCCCTTGTGGCTCAGAGGTTAAAGCGTCTGCCTGCAATGAGGGAGACCTGGGTTCGACCCCTAGGTCGGGACGATCCCCTGGAGGAGGAAATGGCAACCCACTCCAGTACTCTTGCCTGGAGAATCCCGTGGATGGAGGAGCCTGGTAGGCTACAGTCCATGGGGTCGCAAAGAGTCGGACACAACTGAGCAACTTCACTCACTTCACTCACTTTGCTAAGGAAGCACGTCTCCTTGCCTCTGCCTTCTGAAGTGAGCATTATTCTCATTTTATAGAGGTGGAAGCTGAGGTCCAGAGAGAGCAAGCAATTTGCACATAGTCACACAGCCAGGAAGTAGCAGAGCAATGCCCAGGACTTTCCCATGAACCCATCCTTCTTTCTTTCCCAAACTGTAGAAGAGAGCCCGACTTGGGATCTCCACAAGACATTTGATAGTAGCCCCTGCATTAATTTGTTTAACCTTCACTGAACCGGTACTTACTATTTGCCAGGCTCTTTTCCTAGACCCTCACAAATAGCAACTCACTTGAGCTTCATAACAGGCCTATGGGGTTCGTATTACTCTGATGCCATTTTACAAATGAGGAAACTGCACCCCAAAGTCACATAGGAAGTAGTGAGTGGGATTGGGATCTGGACCCAGGCTGCTGGGTTTCAGAGTGAATGTTCCCTAGATTCCCTGAAGCCAGATCCAGGAGGAGAGGGTGGGCAAAGAGATGTTATACCAACAAATGAAAAAGCAGAATGGGACACCTCCCCAAATTCATGGATTAGAAACCTATCTTTTGCCCAGTTTGAGTGAGTGACAAGAGCCTCGCTGAAAGTCATATCTGGGCGGTGTCTTCATCGGGCTTCTTGTCAACCCCACCATTCCCATGGAGCCCTTTCCTGTGGGAACAGCAGAAATCGTGTTCAAGGACCCTTGGCCCTACTGTGGCTCCAGGGGCCACGGGGTCCAGGACTGGAAGGAAGCTTCTTTCTTTCTACCCTTCCCAACCCACACCAGGCGGTAGACACCCTATGTGAGCTTTTTGTTTAGTCACTAAGTCGTGTCTGACTGTTTGTGGCCCCACGGACTATACCCCGCCAGGCTTCTTTGTCCATGAGATTCTCCAGGCAAGAATACTGGAGTGGGTTGCCATGCCCCTCCTCCAGGAGATCTTCCTGACCCAGGGATCAAACCTGAACCCAAGTCTCCTGCATTCTCAGGGGGATTCTTCATCACTGCGCCCCCTGGAAAGCCCAAAGCAAGTATTAGCAAAGTGTTAACTGGTGTTATCTAGGGTATAAACCTGTTCACTAAACCTCTTTTTCATCTTTTCCATAAATTTAATCTTTTTCAGAATAATTAATTGAGGAAAGATAAGGTGAAAATTCCTAAGTGCAATTCACAGTGCTTTCCCCCAAATAACGAAAGACATAAACCATGTTGCACAAGGTCTTCGGGGAAGTGGGGAGCACTATGGAATTCAAAGAACCATAGGGTCTCAGAGCTGAGACTTCTCTGACAAATGAACCCTTATCTACCTCAAATTACAGACCACTCTCTCTCCAGCAGCTAAGACCCACTGCGGTGTGACAAGAAAAAACAAAAACAAAACACACCTTAGAACTTCTTTCCTAGTTTAATCTGGAAGGTACCGCCTATGGTCCAGTCACCTGCAGCCGTCTCCTGCCTCCTCTACCTGACCACCTGCAGTGAAACTTCCTCCCTGATGCTGTGTTCCGATTGTTGGGTCCTCATCTCCCATCCTAATTTGGGCTCGGAGCTCTAAAGGCTGAGAATCTGTGCCCAGGGCAGGTACCTTGATGGAGTTTAAATATCTGATTGATCAAACATGTCGTGTGGGTTTCACATTGTGTCAACTGGAGAATATTTATTAATGGCTTTTGGTCAACACATGTCCCTGGCCCAATGATGACATCAAACGTTGTTCTCGACTTTCAAGGTGCTTCCAATTTAGTTGTGGAGATGAGACAAACACTGCAAATAATTAGCTGAAGAGTATTCATTTTCACTATTTCTTAAAACTCAGAGGCACGAAAATACATACACCTCAGGATAGGATGAAAAAGATATCCATCTTTTCCCTTCAACCACAAATAAAGTAAGAGACAATAAAAACAAATGAATTAATGAGATAAAATGAATAAAATAAAAAATAGTATAAAGAGAAAATAAAAATAAAAGCAGAGCAAATGAAATTAAGTAATGAAATAAAGTTAGTAAAAACAAAATGAATATAAAATGAAATAGTAAGCCAAGAAAAATAATTACGTGGAGTAGCGAAACAAAAATGAAATAAAAGAAAATTACTATAACAACTAAAAATAAAGCCAACACAATAAATATAAGAAAATTAGTAAAATGAAAAGGAATGTAATTAATCGAAGAAACACTGTAAGGATTGGAGGGAACGGAGTTAAGTTTGTTGGGCAGGATCTTTTTATGTTTTCCGCCTGCATTTGGGCCCCCGGGTGTCGGCCAGAACGAAAGCTCGGCGCTGGGAAATGCTGGGTCGCTAATGCGCGGCGCCCTCGGGCGGCCTGGCTTTCCGAGCCGGTAAACGTGGAGCTTGGCCGGGAAAGAGGGGCTCCCCGAGTCGGCACCCCCTCGGCTCCTCTGGGCCGGTTCACCGTGTCGACCCAGCCGCCGGCAGGTGGCGCTCTGAGCCCCGAGGCCCGCGCACCGCGCTGGCCGAGCAGGTTCCTCTCAGACCGCGCGCGCCTTCGCCGCGGCCCCCGCTTAATCCTTTGGAGTCTCCCCTGCCCCGGCCACCTGCGGGACCTCGGCTGCTCCTTCTGAGGATGAGCCGCGCGCGTAATGGTGACTTTGGAGCCCCTGGGGGGAAAAAATGTCACATCAAACGCAGGGTTCTTGCCACAAGACCATCAGTGGGAGACTGGACAGAAGGATGCTTCATGCAAACTCTTGATCTGCCTCGGTGGCAGATTAAAAAATAACTGAAAGTGTGAAATAAAATTTTGAAACTGGAGTAAAAAAAAATTCACCTGCCTGCTGCCTCCGGGGAAAGGCTATTCGTCCAGAATAGCCAGCTACCTGTGGCGTTAGCAGGGACTCAGTGATGCAGAGGGCGGTCCCACAAGCCCCGGGCAAGCCGTGCAGGGGGAGGCAGGGGAGCGCTGGGGGTGGGGACGCGGGGGCCAGGGGCCGCTCACATGCAAATGCAGCCCGGACAATCCGGCCGGGCGCCTCCGCGCCTCCGGGAGGCCGAGGCGGGGACAAAGCATTAGCATTTTCTACATGTGAAAAGCCCGCATTCCTGGGCGGGGAGGCCGCGAGGGCGCCGCCCCCCTCTCCCCATTCACACTCGGGACCACACAGAGCGCCTCTCGCGCCAAATGCTCGAAGGTTCGCTCCAGCTTTTCTTTTGACTAGGGTGATGCATCCGAAATGTAGATATTTCCCTAAACGCCGGCTTTGACATTTAATGTGATCCTAAGTAGGCAGAAATGTGGACTGGATTAGGAGGAGGCTTGGGGCCCACAGGGACACTTGGCCAAATCCGCCTAAATCCTCCTGGACAATTGTTTGTCACCACACGGATCCCCTTTGCCCCAAATGAGGGGGCTAATGAACTGCGCTGCCTCCCCCCGGGGCCCTCCCACTCCCACCCAGGAGCCGGCACGTCGGCCCGGTTCTTCCCAGGGAGGAAGCCAACCCCAGAGCGCAAGCTGCTCTGTGAAGGTGTAGGTTTGGTTCCTTGAGGCTGGGCCGGCTGAGTTTGACCAGTAACCCACCCATGCTGGGTCACTATTTAACTGGCTTGATGAGGCTCAGAGGGTCAAGGATGCTGAGGCCCCCCGCAAACCCTGGGATTATGTTAATAAGCCATCCCCACCTTGAGAGAAGCGGTTCCTATGACACTGCCCGACCTAGAAAGGAAGGCACCCGGAATCTGTTCTGCAGACGTTATTCTCCAGAACAGTCCACACACTGTATAAGGCACAGCCCTGTTTTCAACGTACTCAGGATCCAGGAAGGGGAAGGAAAGATGATGAAGAACTGAAAATCTGCCAGGTTACCATGGGGCTCCCCTGAAAAGCTTACCATCCCAGAAGTACCTCTGGGCAGCATGTGTGGAATGAATGAAGGCTTGGGACAGAGCAGGTATCTCCCTGGGAGTTAGGGGCCAAGGGGCCGTGTGAAAGGGCCAGAACCAAGTCCTAGGGACGGGAAATGGTGACCACTCTGGGGGACAGCAGATTTCCAGTCTGGATGTAACGCACTGGCTATAAGAGAAGTTCAGTAGGGAGGGGGGGTGGTTGGTGTGCAGAGACCTCTCTGGGGGGAGTCGGAGCTGCGCTGCAGGTGAGGTGAGGAGGAAAGGGTGGGGAAGGGACCTCCTGTCAGAGGAGGAGGCCTGGGTGAGGCAGGTTAAGAACAGGATAACACAGGATGATGCCAGTATGTACTGAACACCCCTCGTGGCCCAGACACGACACAGCCGGAGCGCAGGAGGCGGTCATTTACCCGAAGGGTCCCCTTGCTCTCTACCACCCAGCTCCCCATTTCCAGTGGCTCAGCAGTCTCTGTTTTGATTATCCTTCATCTTACACAGTAAAAAAAATGAAGAATTTCCTTTTGAACATCTGGAGCTCACATCCAGCAACAACAGTGTCCAGGGCTTTAAACCTCATTCCGAATCTGTGAGAGGGGTACTCTTATTGTCCTCACTTCACAGATGAAAAACAAACAAACAAACAACTGAGGCCCAAAGAGGCAAAATACTGTGTTGCAGATCAAGTCTGTCCTGGTGAGAGAGCTGAGATTTGAAGCCAGGCCAGCAGTCTGGCTCCAGGGTTCACAATGGCACTGGTCACCTTTCTCCACGTGGTTTCCAAGAGCGGGGCTGGATGGGCGCCTGAGAAGTGAGGCTGAGATGAAGACAGCATCGAGGATGACTGGGCTGAGCAGGTCCTTTGGGCAACAGGAAGGTAAATGAACTCACCTGTAGTGAACGTCTTTGCATTCGGGCATCTCATTTTAATTTTCACAGGAGGCCCTGAGGAAAGTTAGCTTCATTGTGCAGAGGGTCAAAAACCTCAACAGAGATCACGGCACTTGGGTTGAGTAAGGGGCAGAGCTCCCAGCAGATGGGCCCATGAGGGGTTCTGCATGGTGGGACACCACGAGTGCTGTTCTGAGAAGGGGGTCGGGGTAAGAGTGGGGCAGGAGAGACCCTTGAAGGCGCCGGCTCTGCTGGGGGCCGCCCTGCGCAGTCTGTGAAGCGACCCATGCCGTGAATCCTGGCCCACTGGGCTGCTGAGCGGGTGGCGGGGCTTGAACAAAAGCTGAGGCAGCCTGTCTCAGAATCCACAACCCCATCAGCTCTGACACCACCCTTTGAGAGCCCCCACACCTGTCAAACTGCAGAACATCATATACCATAGTAGAAAGGTATGATCAAGACATAAAGGGGAAAACTTCCAGGACATGGCATCTAAAACTCTCAGCACAGTTAGGATCACCTCCATTAGCAGTTAGTGAAAGTTGCTCAGTTGTGTCTGACTCTTTGCGACCCCATGGACTACATGGAATTCTCCTGGCCAGAATATGGAGCTTCTTTACCAGCTGAGCCACCAGGGAAACCCAAGAATACTAGAGCGGGTAGCCTATCCCTTCTCCAGGGGATCTTCCCGACCCAGGAATCGAACCGGGGTCTCCTGCATTGCAGGAGGATTCTTTTTTTAAAAAAAATTTTTTTCTTTTCTCTCCCCCTCCCCCCTCTTTTCTTTTTTCATGGAAGTATAATTGCTTTACAGAATTTTGTTGTTTTCTGCAGGCAGATTCTTTACCAGCTGAGCTACCAGGGAAGCCCCTCTGTTAGCAGAGATGGTGGTTCACAGACTGTGGTGGAAAAAATGAGTGGGAGAAGCCTTCCTGGCTGACGGACTCAGAAAGACAAGTCACAGAGGTGAAGAGCCTCCCTTTACTGCGCCCAGAACTGCTGAAGGTGGCTGTGGAGGGGACAGCTGGACTCCTGGGGGTCAGAATTTGACAACAGTGCATCAGATCTAGAGTGCTCCAGCTGGGAAAACCCTTCACCAGCCTTCTCATAAGATGTGCAGGGTTGTACCAGCGTCTGCAGCTAAGGATGGATACATGATTTGAATTACAGAGGAGATGGAGGCTGGGGTGTGCTAAGGTTTTCTGGGGAAACTTTGTTCCTAATAGTTTCCAATCATGATAGGGTTGCCTTTACCCTCTTCTTTTCAAATTTTATTTTTGGCTGCGCTGGGTCTTTGCTGCTTCGAGTGCGCTCTCTCTAGTTGCAGTGAGTGGGGGCTACTCTTTGCTGTGGAGCTCAGGGCTCTCCTTGAGGTGACTTCTCTTGCTGTGGAGCATGGGCTTCGTTGCCCCGCGGCACATGGAATCTTCCTGGACCAGGGATCCAACCTGTGTTCCCTGCATTGACAAGAGGATTCTTCACCACTGGACCACCAGGGAAGTCTTGCCTTCATCTTCTTGCTTCAGTGTAGATATGATGCTGGAACGTCCTGTGACTGGGGGGACAAAAGTCCAGATGCTAAGGAGGATGGTGTGGGAAAACAGAGCTGAGTCCCTGAGAGCATCACTGAGCACTAAAGCCAAGGTCACCAGCTGCCTATGGATCCCCTTCTCAAGAGGGATAGAAACTGTCATTTAAGTCATGGATCCACTTTGTGCTACTCACAGCCAAGGGTATTCTTATTTAGCAGCAACATGGGGCCTCATTGCCTCTTAGCTATTCCTGCTTTCCCTCTAACTAATCATCAAGTGGGGAAAGTTTCAATTTCTTGAGATGTCTCCAAAGATGTATTGCCTTCGAGTTCAATTACAGGCCTTCTGCCACCCATATGCTACCCAAGACCTGGTGGGCTGGCGATATATGAAGAGTGTGGGCTTTGTCTGGAAAATGTCCTGGCTAGGCTCTAATCCTTTGGCCACCTGATGCAAAAAGCTGACTCATTGCAAAAGACGCTGAGGCTGGGAAAGATAGAGGGCAGGAGAAGGGGGCGACAGAGGATGAGATAGTTGGATGGCATCAGTGACTCCATGGACATGAGTTTGAGCAAACTTAAGGGAGACGGTGAAGGACAGAGAAGCCTGGTGTGCTGCAGTCCACGGAGTCCCAAAGAGTTGGAAATGACTGAGCGACTCAACAGCAACAGGCAAAGCTGCTACCATCTGCAGCACACACATGGGTCCCACAGAACTGCTGCGGATCTAAGGCTTGGGGAAGCAGCTCCTGCAGACTTGGACCAACATGAGTGCAGCCTACAACTCCCATCTTATTTGGAAAAGGTTTTGAGAGGCCCAAGGGAGCTAGGCCACCTGTTTTCTGTATCTTCCAGGAAGGAATCCACTCTGTATATAAAACTACTTGCCTAAATGCTAAGTTGTGTCTGACTCTTTTGCGACCCTATGGACTGTAGCCCCACCAGGCTCCTCTGTCCATGGGATTCTCCAGGCAAGAATACTGGAGTGGGTTGCCATTTTCTTCTTCAGGGAATCTTCCTGAGCCAGAGATCGAACCCTGCGTCTCCTGCACGGGTAGGCGGACTCTTTACTGCGGAGCCGCCAGGGAAAATAACTGCCACATGGCAACAGAGCAGGCAAGCCCCCGTGTACGCCCATCCCACGTTCAAATGGAAGAAAAACCTTGCCCCCTTCTCTGAGTCACTTGTGGGTAATGTCTGGTCATATCACACACAGTTTGTGTAGATCCCTAACTAAAATGTTTGATTTCAGCAACAGAATAATTCAGATGCAGTTTCTGATAAACCATGTGCTTATCTAAA